CAAATAAGTTATGAGATGCATTTTATATAATTCAATCTATTATTTTAGCAGTAATTTTGTTGCTATTTGAATGGATAAGATATGATTTTCAATAAATTTTACATAATTTTCATTCTTTGTGTAGAAAAAGACTTGAATACATAATACTAGGAGTTTTGGGGATTACTTGAATATCTTTTGAAAGTTGAGAAACTAAATGACGAGAAGAAAGGTTCCCTTGAGGAACCTAAATGAATGAATCCAAAGTTATGGGATCAAAGTGTTCATCAAATAAAGCTAGGGCATTAGATCTACTATTTTACTATTCAAGAAATTGTAAGGAGGACCAGACACGGTTTAGTATCAACACCTACATTGTGGTGTTGATATCATGTGTTAATTAAGCCAAATTCTTCAAAATATAAATCTCTCTAAGTAGGTCTGAATTCTTTATTTTGCAAATATGGACACTTGCTTTGTGGTGTCAGTACTATGTATTAAGCCAAATTCTTGAAATCATAAATCTCTTTATGCAAGTTGAAATTCTCTCTTTTCAATTGCAAAATCTTATTCATTAGTGTTTGCTTCTTATCCTAGCAATACATTATTTAAAATTTAGCTCAAGGATTAAAGTCATCATCATCAAACCAAATAAAAAAATTGCAATTAGATTTCTATTCACATGGATCATGATACTAAGATCCACATGTATGGCTAGATTCTTTATTATCCTTCTACAACAATATAAAACAAAAATTAACTATATCAAAATCAAAATCAACTATAATACCACAGTAGATCCCACCAACCCAAAATCAATAAAAAAAAATCCACGATTAAGATCTCAATAAATCCTTACTAAAAATACCACAGTAGATATCACCAACCTAAAATCAATAAATAAGATCTATAAACCTTACAGAAAAGTTTGGATATCCTTAGAACCTTCGACCATAAATCAACTTGGTTAAAGCAATTCTTTTAACTAGTCGAAGACTACATTTGCGAAGACCCACAAACTCACTATAATGAGATGGAGATTGTTCAAATGTAGAACCAAATTGAAAAGGTGATTGATGGGAATTGTTTGAATACATTTTGGGTTGGGTGATTCCGTGATTAAGCGAAGAAAAGCAAGATGATTCTTGGCAAGTTTAGGTGTAGGGTTTGTGGGTTGGAGGGGAAATTGTGGAAAGAGACAAAAAGGAAAGTTGGTGAACAAGGTGAAGAAGAACAGCAAGTGATTGGGTTGATTGCAAACAGTGGACGAATCTAGAAGTAAGGGTTTCTACAAGGTTAAAGTTGATGGTTTCGCGGAAAATGTCGAGTCAGGAAGAAAGAGATAAAAGGAAAGTTGCTTTTATATGATTTAAAGAAAAAAAATAAAAGAAAAGTGGTCCCCATTAATCAAAACAAATAGACAAAAAATTACTAAATGAATAGTTGAATGTCTGACTGTTGGGCAATAAACAATCGATGTAAACAGAAATTTGGATGGCGTCCAATTAAGGATGACATCGAAAGAAAAAAATGATAGTTGAGGGATGACATTTATACCATTTGCCAAGTAGAGGGATGACATTGAATATTTTCCTATTAGGGGGATGGTAATGAAAATTTTATCGTTGTATGAGGACTAGAGTTGGCTTTAACCCAAAGAAAAGCATGAATGTGATCAGTAACTACTCATTTGACTTCGCATTACTTGTGAACTGCAACATTGACTAGCGGTTGAAGAAAAGGAGATGGAATGGACCCAAACTAGATGGTGGAAAAATGAAATGCGATATCTAAATTAATGATCAGTCTCAGAACAAGCTTACCTGTTGAGAGTCTCTCTTTCCATTTTCGTGCTGGAGAGGGATACCTAGTTGAGGGGTAATGCTAAGTTGTAAAACCTTGCAAAATCTCTGTGACACAAGCACAGATTTTCCAAATATGTGAGGATGTAATCATTTCTGATGCCAGGTGAAGATATTCGCCAGATTTTATGACAAGTAGTAAACCGTCAATTAAAAATTAGAAGTTTTGGCAAATGATGTGTGTGTACTTCAAAAGGATTGCCCCATGAATTTGACTCTTTAATATGAAATTCTGCATGTCCAGCAATCAAGTTCGAAGTACTTCTCCAATTTTGTACTATTAAGCTATGTTGGTATAATAGTGCAGGCATGCAACCTTTCAATGTCATGAAAATGAAATGAAAAAGAAAATCTGAACATACATATAGAACAGCTAAGTTTCAACATTCATCTTGTTTTTGTTATTTCTATAAAGCTCAATCCTTGAGTTTTATGTATGTGATCTTAAATGTTTGAGCTTCAACATGAAATTCTCCAATCTAAATACAAAAGAATCATGTCTCAACTTTTTCAGTGTCGCATTTTATCTGCAGGTCAGGTTTTGCAATATTTCTCACTAC